CAGGGTTTATTAGAATCTCTTAGTGATAAAGGCTTTTAGGTTGGGAAACTCATTAGGAGATTCAAATAATTGTCCTCTGTTTTGTTTCCTAAAGTTGATCTTTTTTTTTATCCTAAATGCCTCTTATTAGAGGTGAAGAAGCCCGAATTCAGGAAGATTAGGACCTTTCCCAATGCTTAGGTCATAAATGGTAATCTGGATTGTTTACCTCCAAGGCTCTTTGAATTGTTTATCACATTTCACTGGTTTCACTGGTGGAGAGAAGTAATTTTTACAACAAGGATCGGCAAAACTTTTTGTAAAGGGCCAAATAAGCTTTGTGATCCATAGAAGTTTTCTCATGTTTTTTTGTTAGTTTGTTTTTTTGTTTTGTTTTGTTTTTTATTCGTCATACGGCACATATGCTTACCCAGGAGCACTGAGAGAGAAAGGGAGAGGGAGAAAACATTCCTCAATGCCATGTGGTCACACTGCAATCCCGTCTTTATTTCTTCATCCTGTCAGGAATTTTGGGCAGGCATGCACACACACCAGGCATGTTTTTCAAGCCATAATGGCCAGGTTTCAAGCTGCATGGTCTTCTGTGTGGAAGTTGGCTCCCTTAACCACAAGGCTACTGGGTTGGTTCTTTTCCTTTTTAAAAAAAAACACCTTAAAATGTAAAAACAATTCTTTATCCTATAGGTCATGCAAAAACAAACCAGGGCCCAAATTTGTCTTGCAGATTTTAGTTAGCCAAGGTATAAGCCACACACTTGCTCATTGTTGTCATGGACTATCACATGGACTATGTGTATACCATTAAATGAAGGTGTTATCTTAAAATTTCAGTTAAATTTAAAATGTTAAAGTGTTGTCAATACAAAGCTTTCTTGTGCACTAATTTGAATATTCTGTTACATAGAAGCTTTTATTATTTTACATTTGCATTGTATTGTGTATTGTGTATATATATATATATATATATATACACACACATACATACATACATACATACATACATGTATGTATTTATTTATTTATGGCCGTAGGGTATGTGTGCTCTCTGGAGAAACAGACAGTGAGAGGGAAAGTGAGAAATTACCCCCCCACTACCACCACCCCCAGGGTAGATGGCCACATCACAATCCCTTCTCCATTCTCCTCCTGGGATTTTGGGCGCACGTGCACACATGTACCTGTTGTGAGCCTTAAGCTGCTGGATCTGGGACTTGAATGGGTCAGCCATGTGGGCATCCAGTGCCTTAACCTCTGTGCCATCTGCTGGCCCCATGTTGTGGTTTTAAAAATTTTTTAAATTAGTTTATTCCCTGAATTAGAGAAACAGTTTTAGCACCCCAACAGGGTTCTTAAGCTACAGTTCACCCCCATCTTCAGCTATTCTGGATCATGGGCATATGTGTGTTGGGCTTTACTCAGGGAGATTCCTGGTATTAAACCAACAACTTTCCCATGTTGGTTAACCTCCGCATTCTTTGTACATTGTTTAAAGGTACCTGATAATTTAATCATATATTTAGAAGGCCTGAATTTCAGATTCATATCCATACGTTTCTAGACAAGCGTATTTGATCACCCTGAACTTTCTGGCCTCATCTTTATCTGCAAAATATTAGAAGATAAAATATGCCTTAGTTGATACTATATGTAGCCATAATGTGTGCAAAAGTGATCAAATGTTAAAGCAGCAGTTGTTTTATTAAGTAAACGTCCATTAGTATCAGTTATCTCAAAATTAAGCTTGTAGATGATTTCTAAAACTGCAGCCAGTTTCTGATTTTGAATTTGTTAAAAATTTTTAGAAGAGCAATACCCTTTTCTATAGGGGAACCATGAGTTAGGCATGTCTTTGAAATTTAAGTTGTTTAATTCACATCATGCATAATGCTTTCATTCTGTATTAAACTTAGTATATATAAAACATAATTTTACATAAATACTTTGGCTTTTGGGGTGATACTTTGAAATAAGCTCTAGTGATTTCATGAAAAGATTTTTGCAGCACTGTATTCACTTAATTGCCTATTTTGTTATGATAATTTTAAGTTTTTTCTTTTGGTTTACAAATATTTTTTCATTCTGTCAAGACTTGCTGTATCCACTTTTTTTCTGATAGCTCTAACCCAATAATTACTAAATATCTGCAAAACTTGAATTATTGGTACCGACAGGTGGCATGGTAGTTGAGGCGCTGGACTCCCATATGGCCAACCACAGTTCAAGTCCTAGACCTAGCGGCTTGTTTTCTCACTTTCCCTCTCTTTCTCGTACTCTCTCTCTCTGGTCAAATTAAAATAAATAAAGTTAAATAAAATAATTCTTTTTTTTAAAAAAAGAAATAAGCTCTAGTGATTTCATGAAAAGATTTTTGGAGCACTGTATTCACTTACTTGCCTATTTTGTTATGATAATTTTAAGTTTTTTCTTTTGGTCTGCAAATATTTTTTGTTCTGTCAAGACTTCCTGTATCCACTTTTTCTGATTGCTCTAACCCAGTAATTACTAAATATCTGCAAAACTTCTATCAAACTTTTTTTTTACTTATAGTCTAAAAATGGTGTTTGTCACCATTTAGATCATAAAGGAATTTTGTCTTTAGTGAAACCCAAACCTAGAGAATGAAAGTCTTTTTAATTGATAGTTTCTGATTTTTAATAACATTTAAAAAATAGTGAACACCAGTAGAAAGAACTCATGTATTGGGTGATGGGCAAAGTTATGACACATTTTTGCATAGAAAAACAGAAAAATACGTCATGACTTTACTGGTTACCCAATACTTTATATTCATCTTAGAAAGATAGTGCAGATTTGCATCTGTACATCCAGAGAAATCTATTGTCATGGCATTCCATACATAGTTATTTTCAAATAATCCTTAAAAACTGTGTCCAAAATTATAAGAGAAAAATGTGACCACTTCCATTTCTTAAGTAACCTTATTTCACTTCTTACCCTAATAATAAATAGTTCTCTTCAGTCAATGAATTTTTTTCTTCCTTATTTCTCCTTTTGGAGAAATTTTAATCTTACCTATTTATAGACCCTGTTAATAAACTTTGCAGTATAATTGGACCTTGCTTCTTGACTGGAGCTGTAAATCTCATTTTGTCTCCTTAGTTTTATGATTTAACATTTTCCTTTGTCACATCCTTTTTTTATTCAGAAAGGTTTGCCATAAGGTGTGTGCGCTCTCTAGAGAGACAGACTGAATGAAAGAGAGAAATCACCCTTTCTTGGGGGATGGAGATAATGGCCATGCTGCAATCCCTTCTCTATTCTCCTTTTAGGATCTTGGGCATGTATACACACGTGCCTGGCGTGAGTTTTCAATCGCTGTGCCTGGCGTGAGTTTTCAATCCCTGGGTTCAGTACTCGAACCGCAGTTGACTACTTGAGAGTCCAACGACTTAACCATTGCATCTTCCCCCCTTAGGCTGTTCCCCACTTTGTCACATCTTAAATTTGGGAACATGTTTTTAAAACATCAACCATTACCTTTAGTGCAGTATCAGAATTATTTTAATGTGGGAAATACATCTTTCTAAGATTTATTTTGTCTTGTTGGACAGAGTGGGTTAGGGGTACAACACTGAACAAGTTACACTGTTATGGTTCATACCAGCCAACTCCAAACTTTTCTGATTGGTTAGCACACCAAAAACCTTTTCACACATCAAATACTTTTTCTTATAACTTTCTTTTGACATGATTTCAGATAAAGAGAATGATTAGAAGAATAGTACAAAGAGTTTTCTTTTACTTCCCAAAAATACTGTGCAGATGTTAATATTTTATCACATTAGTCTTTTTCTCATTCCCTCCACCCCTTCCCTACCTTTTATATTTATGGCTGTACCATGTATGCTATGGGACATGTGCGCCTGACTAGAGACCGAGAGAGATGGTGAGAGTTAGGGATCATCCTTAGTCCCACGGGGAAGGCCATGCTACTATATCCCTTCTCCTCCTTTGTCCTCTTGGGATTTTGGGCATGCATGCACACCCCCCGTGTGAGTTTTAAGCCTCTGGGTCTGGGACTTGAACTGCAGTCAGCCACATGGGAGTCCAGCGCCTAAGCCACTGTGCAACCTGCTGGTCTCCCCAAATTATCTTTCAGTTGCATGTATGGTTTGTCTTTGTCTCCAAAGACGGTGCTTAATTATGTATTTTCTAAAAATATAAATTTTATTTTTTTCTTTTAAATCATACATAGTACTATCAAAATTAGGAAATTAACCTTACTATTGAAATCTACAAACCTTGCTTAGATTTCCTCTTTTTCAGATGTGTTTCAGATCATGGACCTGTATTCATTTGTCATGTTTCTTTAGTCTCTTTTTATTATAGAATAGTTCCAGTTTTCTGTTTCATGACAGTTATACGTTATTTTGATGCTCTTTAATTTGTCTGATACTTCTTTACATTTAGGTTCAGATTTTGCATTTTGTATAGAAGTTTCACTGATGCATTGTTCTGTTTTTCTCAGTACACCATACCAGAGGATCCGTGATGTTAAGTTGTCTCATAACTGGTGATGTTGACCTTGATTTTTTTTGGTTAAGTTAGCAACTGCCATCTTTCTTCACTATAAAGTTACTAGTCTTCCTTTGTAATCTTGTGGGGAGTATACATCCTTGATAATTATTTATTTGTAAGTTACATACATGTATTTGTACTAATTTAATGTGCACATTTTAAAAAAACCCTCACAAAGTTAGAAATTAAAGTTTGAGATAAAAATGTAGGAAGTTCTGGTTGTTTTTTGGATCCCAGTTTTGTCTTTTTATACCCTGTGAGGGGTCAGTATTCCTGGCTTTGTAAGCCAGAGCTCTGTACATGGTTTTTTTTTTTTTACCTTGTATTATTTAACAGGAATTAACCCTGTGTCTTGATCCTGAAATAAAAGCTCCTTGAAGGTTAATAATTTCATACTTAGTGCTCAAAATAAATGCTTAATGATACTGATATTTCCTATTATTTTACAATTTTGTTTGCAGATGGAGAACTTAATGTTCTAGATGATATTTTGACTGAAGTGCCAGAACAGGATGACGAACTATATAATCCAGAGAGTGAACAAGATAAAAACGAGAAAAAGGGTATGCAAGATTTCTGTTATTTTTTTAAAAGAACAGTGTAAATGGATGTTTCATTTCTTTTTAAAAATTTATTAAGATGATTATTATTTATCATTATTATTATTTTAAAATTTCCTATGGGGCATGTGTATTCACCAGAGAGCCACAGAGAGAGGTGGCTGGAAAGGCTAAAGCAAGCCTCCAGGTTCTGGACTCAAACCACAATTGACCATGTGGGTGTTCAGTGCCTTAACCACCATGCCACCTACTGGCCCTGAGATTTAATTTCTTTAGAAACTGGGCTCTTGTTTGTGTTCTTTGAGGCAAAAGCACAAAATAAACTGGTATCCTATTCCACAGGAATAAGAATAACATTTTTAAATATTTGAAGCTTATCATATATATGGCTTTATTCCAGTAGTTAAAGTGTGTGTTTTCTTTTAGCTTAACTTAAAAATATTTTAGAAGATACTCCACAGAAATGAGACTTTTTTCTTTCTTTTGTAGATTATGTGTTAACTTTTTGTGAAATACGGAATACTACCAATATTTATATGTTTTTTAAAATTACATTTTAAAGGATCAAAAAGAAAAAGTGATCGAATGGAATCTACTGACACCAAGCGACAAAAGCCTTCTGTTCATTCAAGACAGTTGATTTCTAAGCCATTGAGCTCATCTGTTAGCAATAGCAAAAGAATAGTTAGTACAAAGGGAAAGTCAGTCACAGAGTATAAAAATGAGGAATATCAAAGATCTGAAAGAAACAAGCGTCTGGATGCTGATCGAAAAATTCGTCTATCAAGTAGTGCCTCCAGAGAACCCTATAAGAATCAACCTGAAAAAACTTGTCTTCGGAAAAGGGATCCTGAAAGGAGGGCCAAATCTCCTACACCAGATGCCTCTGAGGTAGTAAATATTATTGCAGATGTAAAAACAGAAACAATTCTTGTTGAGCCGTTAGAACTATTTATTCACCCTGACCTTGTCTGTTATATGACTGCTGATTCCCCTTTTTCTTTAAACATCAGAGAATTGGGCTTGAAGTGGATAGACGTGCAAGCAGATCCAGCCAGTCTTCTAAGGAAGAAGTGAATTCTGAAGAATATGGCTCTGACCACGAAACTGGCAGCAGTGGTTCTTCTGATGAGCAAGGCAACAACACTGAGAATGAGGAGGAAGGGGTGGAAGAAGATGTGGAAGAAGACGAAGAGGTAGAAGAAGATGCGGAGGAAGATGAAGAGGTGGATGAAGATGGAGAAGAGGAAGAGGAGGAGGAAGAAGAAGAAGAGGAAGAGGAGGAGGAAGAGGAAGAAGAAGAATATGAACAAGATGAGAGAGACCAGAAGGAAGAGGGAAATGATTATGACACTCGAAGTGAGGCCAGCGACTCTGGTTCTGAATCAGTTTCTTTCACAGATGGGTCTGTCAGATCTGGCTCAGGAACAGATGGATCAGGTACTAGTTTTCATACATCAAAGTTTTTCTTTTTATTTTTCCTTTTAAAATAGACTTGATTGGTTTTGTTCTTGAACATGTTTAACTTGGATGATAAAATTTATGAGGAGATGAAGGGTATTAATAGGATTGTCTTGTGATCTTTTATAGTTAATTATATGCTGAGTGTTATGAATATATTTGAATAATCTCGAATAATATTTACATATTTTAGTGAGGGCATTTCCTAGCTAAAAATTACAAGTGAACGCAAATCCAGTTGTTTTCCTGTAAGTTAAATGTATTTCAAGTTTTAAGTGCTTAGATTTTCATATCAGTTGACAGCAGCTTATTTAAACACTTAAATGTACCTAAGTATATTCATGTGAAATCTGTTCACTTAGATATTATTTCTTTTTTTCTTTTTTTTGGAGAAGTTTGTGCTATAGGGCATGTGCGCTTGCCAGAAAGGGAGAGACAGAAAGCAAGAAATCACTCCCCAGGGGGGATGGCCACACCACAATCCCTTCTCCATTCTCCTCTCTGGATCTTGGGCACACAATGAACATGTACCCAGCATGAGTTTAAGCCACCGGGTCCGGGACTCAAACTGCTGTCGATTACATGGGAGTCCAGTAACATAGCCATTATACCGATAGTTGGTCCCGGTATTACAGTATTTCAAAAGAACTTATTTCTTCTTTTTTGGGGGGGAGCACAAATTTTTCTTCCAGTTTTACATTAATGAGTTGACAGAGAGGGTCTAGAGGGCTGGGTAATAAA